CACGCCTGCGTGCCTGAGGCAAGTGTCAACCTTGTTGGGTCTCAGTGTCCTCAATAGGGGCAATGACACAGGGTTGGTCAAAGCATTATGGGAGAGCGTGTTAAACACTCGGCTCCGTGTCTGCCACATGCTAAGTTCTCCATGCGTGGTAGTCGATGACGGCGATGACTTACGAAGCTTCCAGAAGGCAATGACCGTGTTACTCTTCTTCATGTTCCTCCCTACCCAAGGACCCAGCGCAGCGCCAGGCACCCGGCAGGTCTGTGACTGCTTGTACTAACATTCTCTGGACAGTGTGCTGGTGTCAGCTGGCCAGGGCCCAAACTCCCTCCTCCTTCTCTGAGACTCATCTAGAGCTCAGGGTTCTGGCTTAGGCCTTCCTGGCCCCAGGTGCCCACCCCTGGTGCCACATCACAGCATTTCTGGGCCAAAGATTTGCCAGCTCCTCACCACAACTTCAAGAGGGAGCCCCTGGCACAGGAATGAGGTGGGCAGGAGGCTGAGCCTTGGGCTGGACCAGGGCCCCTGCCTCCACCTGAGATAGGCCGCTCGGTGCTGAGCTGCTGAGGCAGCACCGAGCTCAGCACCGAGCGGCCTCCCACCCTGCTCCCTCCGCCATGAGCTCACTCGAGCTGATGCCAACGAAATCCCCAGGTGGAAATTCCACGAACACCCTGCCCCCCCCCAACACTTAGCTCTGGAAACGCAAGGCAAAAAGAATTTCAGGGCCTTAAGGGCTGACTGTCCCAACAGAATCACTAATGCCACACATCTGTACAAACACATCAGCTCACCGCGCACCTTCTATATCACCATCTCGTTTCTGCCTCATCACAGTCCTTGACCAGGGGGATCACTGTCCCTATTTTGCAGACGAGACTGACATTACTCAGCTGGGTGGTAGAGGAACCAGGTCTCAAACCCAGATGTCTGAGCTCCAAATCCCTCCTTATACCACTGGGACTCAACTTACAAATGCGCCCGTGTGGGCGACGGCTAGAGCTGATCGTGCTGGAGTGGAATTACATTTACCTGTCTGTCCTGTGAGCAGGGATGGGGTCCGATTGATCTGTATGTCCTTGGAGCTGAGCACTGGGGTTGGCACAGAGCAGGTACTACATGAAGACATATCAGGCATTCAGAACACTACCACTTCACCAAAGGACACCTCTTAACCTTTCCGATGCCTCAGCTGTGATCTGTTCAGTCACCCCGCAAGATCAGCTGTCAGGTGGCCCTGCTACGTGAAGAGAGCCAGAGAGGTTCGGTCATCTGTCCAGAGTCACACAGCCTGTGAGGACAGGGGCTGGACTCAGGATCCAGGTACTGACACCCAGTGCCTGGCCTCCTCTATAACATTATCCCTGGTGCAGTTGGGCCCAGCAACCTTGGCCGAGGAGGATCTACAGGGAAATGGGCAAGGCTCCTAAGACTATTTTCTCTGTCCGGCGTGTCTTCTTCCTGAAGGTTGCCAAGATCCCTTTGGTGGAAGGCAGCATGTGTAGACTCACGGGGAGGCAGTCTGGGGCAGAGGAATGGGTTTTGCAGCCAGGCAGACCAGGCGCCAACCCCAGAGTGCCTCTCCTGCCAGGAGGCTTGCGTGTGCCCTCACCCCTGAGTCTGAGCCTTCCTCTGTAACATGGTGAGAATTCTGGTGTTGCTCCCAGCAGGTCACTGGGATGATTACACAAGGTAAGATGAAGACTCAGTCCCAGGCCTGGCATGCATTGGTGCTCACTGCATGTGGGTTCCTGTCCCCTAAAGGCTGCTTTCAGGGGCCAGGAAAGAAAAAGGAGCTGCGACACCAGCAGATCTGAAGGTGAGGCAGGGGCAGAGTTTAAAGAATCTAAAATGCACCTGGGAGCCTTGGATTCTCTCCTAAGGCACTGTCCAGGACCCTTCCTGCGCTACAAATGCTGACCAGGATTTAGCAGGGAATTGGGAAGGGGGTTTTGGAAAGGCTGCAGAAGACAAAGCAGGCTGAAGCAGGTGTGTCACCTCTGACAGAATGAGGACAGAATGAGAATCGGGTAGGTGGGTCACCATCTTCCCCTCTCTCACCCCCCAAGCCAGGCAGTGACCTCGCCCTGACCAGGTTCAGCTCGGGAGGCATCCCGGCCTGGACTGCTATGACTGCCTGTTCCTAGCCCGCTGCTTCCAACTGTCGGCCTTACTGGGCACCACAGTACAATCCCAACAGAAGAATAGGACCTGCCACTGCTCCCACTTAGAACCCATCCTACGAAGATGACTTGCCAGACTAGAAGTCCATTTTGCTTCCAGGGCCCCACGCCTTTGCACAGGTTGCTCCCTCTGACGAAGACGGCAGAGATGCCCTTTTCTTTGACCCTGCATCGCCCCCCCTCGGCTCCCATGGCCTCTGGGTTGCTCATATCAAAGTATGATACACTTTGTGGTTTGTGAGCATCTGTGGATCTGTGTCCTGCTCATCTCCTGTGTGGGGCCTGGCCGCGTGAAAGGGGATAAACCAGATGAATGAAATGTCCTGGACAGAAAGCTTCCTCCTGCTTGGTGAGGACATCACTGGCCCAAGCTTGCAGGAGACTTCGGGCTTTGCCAGGTGGTGAAATCAGGTTTAGGACCGCAGCTGAAGTTGTCTCTGCCTTCTGTTGTCAGTGCAATCCCACACCACAGGCACACCACAAACCTCGTCTCATTTTGTTAGCACATGTCATTTATCATCCTATTTGGCATTCACCACAGATCAGTGAGACAGGAATTACTAATGTTCACATCTGAAGGATGAGGAGACTGAGAACCAGAGGTAAAGTTACTTGGCCAAGGTCACAGAGCTAGGAAGCGATGGAGTGGGAGTAAAATCTAGGTTCTTGACTCTAACTCTGCCTGCAGACTGGTCTCTCAGTCTCCAGCACCGCCCACAAGCCAGAGGAAGTTTTCTTGGAATTACCAATCCCACGCTATCATGCCTGCTTAAACCCACCAGCAGCTCTCCACCACCTGCAGATTCAAATCCCAGCTCCTAGGCCCGGCATTCAGGGCCCTCATATCTGCCCCCCCTTCCCTCCCAGGGGAATTCCAATCCCCACCCCACCCCAACACCCACCTTGCATTGAGTCCACAATGCTGACCACCTCTGTGCTGTTATCAGAATACACAGCCGCACAGTGCTGTCCCCTCAGTGGGAGACACTTCCTGCTTACCCCTGCTGCTGCATTCCAGCCTTCCCTTCCCCGGGCTGCAGGGGCTCCAGGCCCACCTCACCTCATCCCTCCCTACCTTCAAAGCCACCTGCCCTCCCCCCATTCAATACAGCAAATCACTGCCTGGGGACTGCTTGAGACAGAATGGAGGTGCGTGTCAAACATCAAAGTGTTTCCAGGTTCTGTGGTCTCAAGCAGTCAGCCACAACAGAAAGGGAGGGGTGAAGTTGTCAACACCTTCCTTTCCAGAAGGGAAACCGAGGCAGAGAAAGGAAAGCGCCAATGTTTGCCTCCTTCCCAGGTGAGTGGCTTGTGGCCCTCCTTCACATCTGCAGCATCCCCCAAACTCTAGGTTAAAGACTGGGTGGAGGGTGGTTGAGGGGGCAGGGGAGGGAAGGTGTTAGGGCTATCTCCGAGACTCAGGATCAAAGGCGCCGCAGGCTTCCGCCCCTGAGCGCTCCCTCTCGGGTCAGACCTAGGCTCCGCAAGTCTGGACTTATCTGAAGGGTAGAGCAGGCAGGAAGGAAGGATCGGGGAAGTTCCTGAGTCACCTCCTCGTCCCGGCCAAGTGTGGGCGGCACCGCTCTCAAGCCGAATCCCGCAGCGCGGGTAATCCAGACTGCACGCTCGGCGCCCAGAGGGAGTTCTCTCGCCCCCATCCAGAGCAGGGTGACTGCGACTCCGAGAGGCTGAGCAACTCGCCCAGGGCTGGACTTGGGCCCGTGGCCGTCCCACTGGGAACCAGTACGTGCCGGGATCCCAGAAGCCGTCGCCTCCCCACCTACCGGATCGGAGGGCTGGTCCCCCCATCCCCCGGGGGCGGGACGCCAGCGGAGAGCGGATCTCAAAGCGGAGCCGGGGGTAGGGGCCGGCCTTTCGCCAAGCAGACACGTCTCTCTCGGTCACATACACTCCCTCGGAGAAGCGCCCGGCGGGCAACACCGGCTGCCGTCTCCTCTCCTGTCCTCTCCCGCTGCAGCCCCCACGCCGGGGCCCAGGACTGGCCGCTTACCTCTCTTCTCCTAGCTGGGTCGGCGGGGGTGTCCCGCACGCTCCGCCCAGCCGTGGCCTGGGCGAGTCCCCCAGCGCGGCTGACCCCCGCCCCCATCCTATCCCATCCCCTCGCGGCTCTAAGAACCTCAGGAGGTGAAGGAGGGGCGGGCCGCCAGCGCCCCGGCCCCGGCTGCAGCGGGAGGAGGACGGGGTCTGTTGCTGGAGGAACCAGGAGAAAAGTTTGAAGTCAAGTCGGGGGCCCGGGTGGACAGCAGGGGAGCGAGGAGTTGGGGCGGTGTCTGGCTCTCGGCGCGCACACACTCCACGGACATCCAACCCAGACACGTCGACAGGCACAGACCACGTACGCGGACACACGACGATGAGCCCACCCACACCCACAACCAAACGCGGGCCCACAAAACGTGGACATAGGCACTAAAAAGCCACACAAAGCCACGGACACACAAAAGGCTCAGGCAGATGCACGTCCCCGGATCCAAATCTACAAAGACCCACAAACGCGTGATGCACGTGTCCGCACAAAGACCCCAGAGGCGCCGGCCCCCGGCCCGCGTCCAGAGCCTTTGTCTCCTGGAAGCCCTCACCCCTTGGTACGTGTTCCCTACCCCGGCCCAGCCCCAGGCACCCCGCAGCCGCTGCCGACGCCCTGGATCCAGGAAAAGTTGAGGGGCCCGAGGCCCTCCCCCAGAGTCCAGCGCCGCCCGCCCTCCCGCCCGCCGGATGGGGCGGCGAGGTTGGGGTCGGGGGCTCCGGACCTTCGCCCTCAGCGCGACTCCCGCTTCGCCCGGGACCCACACCCACCTGGAAGCCTGCACCGCAGCCGCCTCGGCGCGCTCACCCAGGCGGCCCGGCCGCGGGCTCTCCGGCCGGCGCTTTTCTCCGCGCGGCGCGGCCCGCCCCCCGGCCCCGGCCCGCCGCTGGGAGCCCCCCGCCCCCGCCTGCCCGGCGCCCAGTGGCGGCTCGGGCCCGCCGCCCGACGACCTAGGGAGTGTCGCCAAAGTGCCGGCTTTCCCGGCGCGCGCCCGCCCCGCCCCCCGCCCGCCTGCGGAGCCCTAGCGAGCCCGGGTTCCACCCTAGGGAGCGTCTCAAAAGTGCGCACGCAGCTCCCGCCCACTCCAGTCGGCCTCGCTCCCAGCTTCCTGCAACCCGGATCCCTGCCCCCTTCCCCAGAGCGCCTGAGCAACCTCAGCAGATGGCCGCATGGTCGGGAACATCTGGAGGTCGCAAGAGTGCGTGTGTGCGTGTGTGTGTGTGTGCGTGCGTGCGCGCGCGCGCGCTCCAAAGAGAGGGTGGGGGACGTTAGGAAGAAAGAGATTGGGTGGGTAAGGGTTCCCTCTTCTCGAGTTCGTCCTCTCGTTTTTTTAAATGAGTGAAAGAGGTCCAGAGACATTAGTGAGAAGTAGACCAGGAATCTGAAACCGAGCAAGACTGGCTGAAAGACGAACCCGCAGAGGGGAGAGAGACAGGCTGAAGGCAGAAAAACTAGCAGGAGCGGAGAGGGAAAGGGGCAGACTTACTTGCTCTGAAGGGAACCGTGGACTTTGGCTGGATTTCTAAGAAGGGAAACTGTGTGTGTGACTAGGCACCACTTATTCCTCTGCAGCTCATCCTCTCTTCACCCCTCTTTATGTTTATTAGGTCAGGAAGACATCCAAAAAAAAAAAAAAAACCTTTTAAAAACGGGGATTGGGGAGAGAAATTGCCTGGTGGATGCATTCCCAATGTGGGGCTTGGGTGAGTTTGAGTCTCCCATTCTACACACCTAGACAGGGGTAGGGGGCAGTTGTCAGGCACCCCAGAGGTATCTGGCCCAGGGGTGGAGGGAGGCTTTGGTCTTGAACCCTGCACATCCCAGGAACCCCCTGTTGTGGAGAGGGCCCCTGGGTGCAGAGATTGGGCAGTGTTCCCCCTGCAGTGGCCCAGACTTGCACTCCCAGTCTTTTTGCTAATTATTTCTTTATTACCTTTTTTTTTTTTTAATTAAAAAAGTTGCTTGGGCTTGTGTGTATGTGTCTGCCTGTCTATCTGGAAGGAGGGAGGTATGTAGAGAGATGGGGAAGGAGGAGTGGAGGCCGCTACCCCAGCCTCAGGGCAGCAAAATTGAATCTGCTACACGGAGCCAGAGTGTTCTTGCAAGTCCTCCCCTGCACCCAGTGACCGTGCAGGTCCTGTAGGTGGTGCTCACCTGGGCTGAGATCCCCAGACCCTGCCCATTAGGGAGGTGAGGGGAGAAGGCTGGGAGCCTGGTCTTCTCAGTGTAGGACCGGAAGAGCTCTCCTGTCTCCTCTGCCTCCGGCCCTTGTCCTCCCCCAATTAGAAACCCAGCTGCCAGAACTGGGAGGCTAGAGGGCCAAGCAGCCAGACTTCTCAGCAGTCTTTGAAATTGTACCCCAGGCTCCTTTGCATCTAGTCACCTCCTCACAGTTGAGCTCCTAATAAATGGGCCGCTGAGATTCAACTCTGCACCCGCTAATCGTTCTCGGTGCAGCCTGGTGCCCTCAGGAGGAAATGAAGCCCTTCCCAGCCCTTCTCCCTGTCTGGGGGAGGAGACCCCCAAAAAGCATTTGGTGAGGGCCCTGAGCTTGGACAGGGTTTGGGTTCCAGCCCTGCCACTTCCCAGCTTTGGGTAATCTTAGGCAAGTCACCTATCCTCTCTCAGGTTCTGCGCCACAAGAGAAGCTGTTATGAGAAGTAAACAGGGTAACTTAGTAAAGCAGTAAAACTTGTCACAGGAAGCACCATCCTGCAGTGTTAATTGCCAGTATTATTATACCTAGATGTCTCCCACCAGGGATGGTGTAGAGGCTGGAAAGCCCAGCAGGCTTGGGAGGGGAGGAGCCCAGGGAATGGCCATCTGACTCTCTGGCCCCCTTCCCTGGGGGAGAGAGGGCTTTCTTTCAGTGCAATCCCCCTGGGCCCTGGCCTGGAGACTTTCATCCTCCCCTCCCTTGATGTGGAGTTCTGGAGTGAGGCTCCTGCTGAGCATCTGAGAAATGGAGATAAATAATCAACTCCCAGGGAACTCGTGGTGGGGGGGATGCTAACTCCCACTGCCCTTTGTATGCAGGGTCTACCGGCTGGGCTGGAGGATCCAGGCTCCCCCAAATGGCTTTTCACCTAAAGTACACATGATGAACAGCCCTTCACACCTTGGTTGGTGGCTGCAGGCAGTTTTGAAGCACTTCTGCATTCATCATTTCCCTGATCTTCCCTAACTTGGGCTTTGGATAGGGAATGTCTGTCAGCCCTACCCATCTCCCTTGTCTGCTGTCTACACTGCAACAAAAATAACCTTCCTAAACTGCAAAACTCCAAAAGTGATCACGACACTTGTCTACTTAAAACCTTTCAGTGGCAAAAGCCAAACTCCTTGGCTTGGCATTCAAGGCTCATGAGATATGCCCCCGGCCCCCACCTCTTCAGCCTCATTTCTGGCCATCCCCTCTTACACATTTAAAACTCTAGTCCTCTAGTCACCTGGAACTGGGGGAGGGAGATGAGGGAGGGGAGCACCTCTACATTCTTCAAGCCTCTATCCAGATTCTCCTCCCCCACGAAGCCCTCTGCCTGGCGAAGTTGGTCCTTCATACTATTACGTTGCCCCTCCCTTTGTACACGGACACTATCATTTTCCCGTTCTCTTCACCCTTCTGTAGCCATCCTGACCGTTATCACCTGCCAGGGACTGTGCTTGATGCTTTAAAGGTCACTACATCCCTTAACCCCTGTGTGGTTTTTAATAATCACTTAACAATCACACAGATTGATAGTGGTGAGGCCCAGAGAAAGAGATCTGTCCAATGTCACACAATCTGTTTTCTGCAGAGCTAGAACAATAGTCAGGACCCCAGTGCTCCTTGTACAATCCACACAAAAGCAAAATGTGGTATAATAAGAGAGACCTCGGGAACCAAGTGTCCCAGATGCAAACCGTTGCTCTATCCTCGGCTACCTATGGACTTCCTTCGCCTCAGCCTGTTTCCTTACCTGTAAAATGGGAATAAATAAGAAGCCCTACCTCACTGGGATGGAGGGAGGATCAAATGAATTAACATAGATGCAAAAATATTGTACGCTGTAGGGTGCTGTGTGCTTTTCATTGATTTCCTTGACCAGCCGTACTGCAACTGAGTTCTTTTTTCTCAGAACTCTCCAGACCGGAGGTCAAAGGCACCAGTAGTCCCTTCGGTTGCCTTGCTCATTTCCCCTGTTTTGAGAAAGCCAGAAGGTCTTTTTCTTTCCCTTACCGTAGCTCTCAAGCCCTGACCAGAAAACCCGCCAAATCCAATGTATTTCCATGAAGCTCCCGAATCTCTAACTATTTTTCTTGCGGCATTTTCTTCTTTCCAGCTGTCAGAAGCTGGCAGATCTAAAGTTAATAGAGCCACGTGAGGCAATAATAGAAAAGAAGAGCTGAAAGACAAAGACTGCCTGTCCAAGCCCCTGCTGATTGCATAGGGCTGAGTTGGCTGGTGCTATGCTATGTTTTTTAAAAGCTCGTGTGGTGATTCTGATGTCAGTACAGGGACTGGGGGACATGGCAGAACTCCTTAGGGTTTGCCAAGTCCTTCCACACACGTTTTCATTTTTGAGCCTCTGAGCACCCTTCTTAGGTCATCTCTTATCTCTGCTTTACAGATGTGGAAACTGAGCCTCAGAAGTGACCGCCCCAGGCAGCGGGACACAGCCAGGGCCTAAAACTGTCTCTGACAGAACTCCAGCCAGTGCTTGGCGGGGCAGAATTCTGTGCCTGGCCTTTGCTGGTGTCTCAGCAGTCACTGTGCCATGAACACTCTTCTCCTCCTGCCAAATCAAATGCTTCCCTAAATATTTCTCTCCCACTCTCCCACCTCCGTGCTTTTTCCCCTGCCTGGAATGACTTTCTCAGCTCAGTCTGCCAGCTGCAGTCTTCATGGTCTTCCAAGCCCGGCTGCCTCCTCCACAAAGACATTTTCATTTCCCCCAGTTTCTCTTGCCTTGAGCCTGGAAGCACTTGGTCTGTGCTTCTATGCAGCCCCCTCTCCAGCCCCGCCCCTGCTGCCCCTGGATGCCCCAACATCCCCGGCTGGTGGGGTTCCCGGCAGGTTCTGGCCGTGCCTCACTGCCTCCCTGACTCTGTTCCTGCTGTGCCCCCTTACAGAAGTGCCCCTTACTCCATCCCATCTCTCACTGATTCAGAGTCCAGCCGAGTATCACCTTCTCCAGGAAGCCTCACCTGACTTTCCCAATCCTTGACTTGACCCTTGGAGGCCCTCCTTGGTGTGTCCGTGGCACAGTGAGGATACCTCTGTCATGAACAAGGTTGTTCTTTCATTTGTTTATTCATTATGGCAAGGGGCAAACTTCTGGGCTGAACTGTGGAGGTATGAATCCCAGCTTTAGAGTAGGGAAGTTCTAAAACTTCTCTCTCTGCCTTGCATTTCTTCTTTTTTTCAAAGGGGATTTTATTTTTAAGTAATCTCTACACCCAATGTGGGGCTCAAATCTACAACCCTGAGATCAAGAGTCGAATCGAAGGTTTCACCGACTGAGCCAGCCAGGAAGCCCCTGCCTTATATTTCTTATCTGTAAAGTGAGAAAAATAGTCTCTACCTCAAAGGTTATTGTAAGAATTAAATGAATTAATCCATGTAGACTGTGTAGAACAGTGTCTGGAATATAGTGAGCCCTTGATGAACGGTGGCGACTACTATTATGATTTATTCATTCATTCTTCAGCAAACGTTTGTAAAATGAGACAGGGAAGCTGAAGCGGGAGCCTGATTGTATGGCCCAGGAGAACCCAGTGTAGGGTATGGGAAGTTTGGCAGACACAAAGATTTGTTTTCCCCCTGCAGAGGAGGAAAAAAAAAAAAGGAAGGTGGCACTGAC